AAGAATACAGGATGCATCTTCGCCAACGATGCCAACAAAGACCGTGCCAAGGGTCTGATAGGAAACATCCACCGTCTGGGTGCGAGGAACGTAATTGTATCCCACTACTCGGCTTTGGAGTTCCCCAGAGTCATGAGTGGCTTTGACCGTGTGTTGCTCGATGCGCCTTGCTCGGGTACTGGTGTTATCGCCAAGGATGCCAGTGTCAAGACCAATAAGACCGAGGCCGATTTCATGAAGCTGCCTCATCTACAGAAGCAATTGCTACTTGCTGCCATCGACTCTGTTAACCATCACTCCAAGACTGGCGGTTATATTGTTTACAGTACTTGTTCCGTTACTGTCGAGGAAAACGAGCAGGTTGTGCAATATGCGCTCAACAAGAGGCCAAATATCAAGCTTGTTGAGACTGGCCTTACTTTTGGTAAGGAGGGTTTCACAAGGATTGGGGGCAAGACTTTCCATCCGTCGATGAAGGTAAGATTTATACGGGTTTCAGGAAGACTTGAACGACTTATACTAACATCTCGATAGATGACCAGGAGGTACTACCCTCACACTTACAATGTCGACGGTTTCTTTGTCGCCAAGTTCAAGAAGATTGGCCCTACACCACCTAATGCTGTTGGCGCCAACGAGGCTACCAAGAACAACGGTGCAGGCAACGCAGACACAACCACCGAGGTCGAAATCATCGATCGCACTCCTATCGGCGCCGACAGTGACGAAGAATCGGACTTTGGTGGATTCGATGAGGAAGAGGATCAGAAGTACATCGAGAAAGCTCAGGCCAAGTCGATGCGCAAGAAGGGCAAGGATCCCAGGGCTATTGTGCCAAAGGCGGAGAAGAGTACGAACGGAGCATCAAAAGAGAAGAATGGTCATGTGAGCGCAAAGGAGAAAGCAAGTCGCAAAGAGAAAAAGGGCGGCGGTGTTGAAGTCGCAACTGATGTTGCGACAAAGGAAAAGTCCAATGGTGTTAAGGCGAAAGAGACAAAGGTTGAATCAAAGAAGGGGCGAAGAAAGAGTGGGGAAAAGAAGGGTAAGGCGTAGTGCGTCTTCTTGTCGGATCGCGATGGATGTCTTAGCAAATGGAGGCGTGTCAAATGTCCCAATCGGATACCCAATGCAGGTGTAAAAGACGTCGCGTACTTTACTACAGCGTATGAATGGGGCTTGGTGCCCTTGTGTACTAGTGGCTTCCCTCAGCCAGGCTATCAGGATTCGCTAACATTGTTACAACTTGTCACTACTGCATTGTCTGAACAAGTTACCGACGGTCTCTAGTATTGGCCCATCATCGTGCCGCGTACTAAACTCTAGTTTCGATGCAAAGCCCGCGATGCATCTTCGCGTCTTCTAGCGGTGACACCGGCTGTCAACAGATTGGCCACCATCATCTTGGGCTCAAAACGGGCCGATCATACTCCGCAAACTCAACCCCAGAACCACCTCCACTTACTCCAGCTTACACGACAGAACTATATACCTCAGGCTTAACGATCCGATATCCGACGAATGGTCGTCCCGGACATTCCTATCTTATTCCGTTCGTTGCCTGTCGTCATTGCAACGGTTGCAAGTGACATGGACAGGCTGCAGCGTCAGCATGCCCGATGTCTTGGTAAGTCCCACCCAGGTCAGCACGCCGAGCCTCAGCCAGCAGAGGATTCCTGGGCAAAAAACTCGAAGCACACCAAGTCTTGGACATCACGAGAGCGTTTCCCGCCGCGGTCATCCTCATTTGTGACTCGCAATTGCACACCTAGGGCAGAGACAAGATGACGCTAGCCAGCGCCCGCTGCGTCTGCCACGCCCGCTGCCAAGGGAAAACACGCGATCAGAGCGCGCAAATAACAGAGTTCAAATCGCCCGCTCGACACGATGTGCGCAATTATTCCCCCAGGCCCGAGAAACGTTCCGACCGGGGGACCCTCCAATTGCCGCTGGCTCGTCCTGTTCCTGCAACTTGGGCGTGCAGAATCACAGTCGGCCCGTGGAGTGCTTGTAGCAAAAACCCTACCCAATATGCAACCTCATCCAACCAGGGTTTGGAAAAGGTTTTTTTGGTGCGTCTCGGCAACAAACCATTTCCATGTTCCGTAACCAAGTCCGCACGCGGCCTACGCCGTGAATGGCAAGCTCGCCATGCTTTTCGAGGGCAAATGTGCCGAGCCTCACTTGGCCTTGTTTCCTATCCACCTCCACTATCTTGTCTTGGTTTTCTTCCTCATTCGACTTTTCTATTTCTTTTTCTTTTTCATCGGTCTATACAACTTGGGCTGACGGGCATTTCTTCGACGTTGAACTGACATAATCGAGATTAGTCTCAGCCGTCGGCGCATTTACCAGCCTCCGACGTATGTGGCACGGAGGGCAAGCCATATAAATCCGGGGTAGTTCAGCCAAGGCCGTGTTGAGTGGTTGCGACTCCATGCGGGGGATGGCTAGTGCAAGTCTACCCATCCTTGTCGACTGAGACTAGGGCTGGGCATGGATGGACGGGGGCGCGCGTCTCGTGAGATTGTTGTTAGTGTGTCCAGCAGGGGTGCTTCATTGGAGCCCCAGGCGGGAATGGAGAGCTGTCGCCCGGACTGGCGTTTTGAGATAAAAAGCATCCTGCGCGCGCGCTTCTCTTACAGCTACCTTGTTCATCCTATTGTTCCAAGGGCTTGCGACCTTACGTTTATCTTGCCCATTTTACATATCTTGAGTTGCACCTTGACATCATGGGTATTATGCTTAAGCCCCCGCCAGATGTGCCTGGCAAGGCATGGTGTGTTTACTCCAAACATTTTTCCCCGCAATCATAACTAAACGTTACACAGGCCAGCTATTCTAATTGGTCTTTTCGTTGCCTTTGGTGGTGTACTCTTCGGGTGAGTTTGCAATACGTGATGCTGGTGGTGGACTATATCTAATTTCCGCAGATATGATACTGGTACCATTTCTGGCATTATTGCCATGGACTATTGGAAGAAGGAATTCTCCACGGAGCCAGACTTCAGTATCACCGCAGCTCAAGATTCGTTGATTGTGTCCATTCTCTCAGCCGGTACCTTCTTTGGTGCTCTGACGGCAGCTCCATTTGGTGACTTGCTTGGACGACGTTGGGGTTTGATCGCCTCAGCGGGCGTGGTCTTCAATCTCGGTGTTGTTTTGCAAACTGCTGCGACCGCACAGCCTCTTTTCATTGCTGGCCGTTTCTTCGCTGGATACGGAGTTGGTCTTATTTCTGCATTGAGTAAGTCTTCTTTGCTTCCGCCAGGTGTTCAGCCCAAGACTGACGACTCTATAGTCCCCATGTACCAAAGTGAAACTGCGCCAAAATGGATTCGTGGAACGATTGTCGGAGCGTACCAGTTGGCTATCACTATTGGACTGTTCCTGGCTGCCATTGTAAACAATGCTACCAAGAACCGTCAAGACTCGGGATCGTACCGTATCCCCATTGCGGTTCAATTCGCCTGGTCTATCATCTTGGTTGGCGGGTATGTACTTTTCTCCAAAACAATAAACTACATCGGCTAACATCAAGTTTTAGACTTCTCTTCCTGCCAGAGACTCCCAGATACCTCATCAAGATGGACAGGTACGATGAAGCCGCGAAGAGTCTTGGACAACTCCGCCGCTTGCCTGTTGACCACCCCGCTATTGTTGAGGAGCTCAACGAAGTGCAAGCCAACCATCTCTACGAAATGTCACTGGGCAAATCTACATACCTTGAGTGCTTCCAGGGCACACTGGGCAAGCGACTGTTGACTGGATGTTTGTTGCAAGCGCTACAACAGTTGACTGGTGTTAATTTCATCTTCTGTGGGTATCACATAATCTGGGATCTGTAGTAATTACTAACGATACGTAGACTACGGAACTCAGTACTTCCAGAGGGCTGGATTCGACAACCCCTTCATCATTCAGGTCATCACCAATTGCGTCAACGTCGCTTCTACTTTCCGTACGTTTCACCTGATAGCTTCAGTAGCTGCAAGGTACTAACTTTTCTGTGTAGCTGGCCTCTGGATGGTTGAGCGCCTCGGACGTCGTAATCTCCTCTTGCTCGGAGGTGTTGGCATGTGCGTATGCCAGTACATTGTCGCCATCACTGGAACGGTTGCTGGAACCACCGATTTGCCCGCTCAACGCGCTGCTATCGCCTTCGTGTGCATCTACATCTTCTTCTTTGCCAGCTCCTGGGGACCGGTCGCGTGGGTCGTGACTGGCGAGCTTTTCCCTCTCAAGGCTCGTGCCAAGTGTCTTTCCATGACCACTGCTAGCAACTGGTAAGTCATATTAATGGATCTGGGAAGCAATTCGGCTAATAAAGATATTTACAGGCTGCTCAACTGGGCTATTGCTTACTCGACTCCCTACATGGTCGACCCCGATCACGCCAACTTGCAATCCAAGGTGTTCTTCATCTGGGGAAGTTTCTGCTTCGTCTGCATTGGTTTCGTGTAAGTGACTACCCTCCGATCTCTTGTAGATCTTTGACTGCATATTTGAAATGAACTTCGCTAACATACTCCTACAGCTGGGCTATGATCTACGAAACTAAGGGTCTCACCCTCGAACAAGTCGACGAACTCTACGGTATCGTCGGAAAGGCATGGAAGTCCAAGGAGTTCCGCCCTGCCGTCGCATTTGCCGATATGGATCCTGCTGCTGCCCGCAACGCTAGCCTCAGCGAGGTCGCGGCCAACCAGGAGAGGAAGCGCAGCATTGCGCACGAGGAGTCAGCTCCCGTTGCTGAGACCCAGCCTACCAAGTTCTAAGTGCCTTCCTGTGGAACCACACATAGTAGTAAACTGAGATTGCTCACACTGCGCCTCGGCAAAGCGAAATGAAGGAAGGAAAGAAATAGCGGAGGAGAAGTAATTTAATTAAGCACTGTGATCAATATACATGCGTGCATTATACATACTGCGAACCTAACAAACTCCACTACGTGATGTATGCACCCTTCTTTTCAACCCATGTTACTACTCTAAAATAACCCCTCACGGCGTATAAAACCCCCTAGCCCACTTCTCCCTCTCACTCTCTCTTTTCCTCCCTCCCCCTCCCCCCTCCTTCCTCATCCCACTCTCCATTGACCCACCGCCATTCCTCCTCACCTCCAGCCCCTTCCCCTCCTCCCCTCCCCTCCTCCTAACCCTATCCAACGCAGCCAAAATCCTATACCCAACCCCCGGCTCATCCCCCCTCCTCCCCTCCCCCACATAATCTCTCACTCTCAACTTTTCCTGCCCGGGTACGTACGCTCTTTTACCGCGTATACCCAGTGGTGGGGGATTTCCTGAATGAAAAGGGTTGCGGAAGATATGGGGGAGACGCTGGCGTTGGAGGGTGGAGAGGGAGGGGGCTGTTTCTTGGGAGATGCGGTTGTGGTGCATGTTTTTGGTGTCTTGGTATCGTTGTTGTTCTGATAGAGGTGGTGGTGAGAGTGGTGGAATAGTGGACTGTAGAGGGTATATGTATACCTTGGTTTGGTGGAATATTGGCTTGGTGAAGGTATGGAGAATACGTGGTTTGTTGAAGATTAGCGATTTCACAGTGGAGGAGTGTGTTGGAGGTGTGTTAGTGGGACACGTGTGTTGAGGATGGAGGTAATGGATGGGAAGGTATGAGGTTGCGGTGTGGTATTCACATATTGGGGGAAAATCACGTACCTTGATTGACTTATGATCCAAGCACTTTAGAGTTGAAGGATATCCACCGTATAACTATACTGCCAGTTATCAAATGGTGACAACCGTCTGCCCATCTGGATATAACTAAACATCCACGATCTTCTGGACGTCACAGCAGAATTGCATCAATTTTTTAAATAAGCAAGTATGTGACCATTTGTGACTAAACCAAAAAAGACTACATATCTTCGCAGCGCAATCGAGATCCCTCTCAAGATAACCAAGTGGTGATATTCCTTCGGGGTATTTGCGCTGCCCAAGATCATACGTGGAAAATCGCATCATCTCCATCATGTCCAAAAGACATTGCCCAAGTGTATACCAAAGCAGACAAGAGATTGTCGGGCCAGGATCGCTTTTGAGTCGTGAAGAATGAACCAATCGCTTTTCAATCGTGGTGCAATGTAAGCAGGTGTGTGCAAGTAAGATAGAGCAATGGAACGCATGAATCGTGGAAGATAAAAGTCATCGAATCGTAATGGTCGTCGAAAGCACTAGAACGATGTAGTCAGTAGAGGGCTCGATCGATGTACTGATAAAATTCTTACATGTATGGGATCATCATCGCCATAGGAGAGCATGGATGAAGAGCTGAAAGGCTCAGCCGAAGTAGCGGGGGCTGTATGGCTGCACATCAGGAGCCTCAGTCTTGAAGATGTCACCAAGTAGCTCCTGGCTGTTGTCACCTACAGCATAAGCGGCATAGTCAGTAAAGTCGGAGAAGTTGACAGAGTCCAGATGGCGATGATCAACTGGGTTGGACTCCTGGCTGTACTCGGCATTTCCTCCATAGGGATTTCTATAGACCTGGGCTGCTTGATTCGGCATGTCGGTGAGAAAGCCACTATCAAAGGGGTTGTTCTCTGGAGTGACAATGTCCTCAAGCGAACGCAACTGGTCAGTAGTACCCATAATGAAGTTATCTTCGTCGATCAAGAGATCGTCAACAACTATGTGGTTGCGGTTGTAGAGCTTGCGTTGCTCTACCGAGTGGGCAGACTCCTCAGCCATGTTCGGGAAGGATGCTGTATCGAAGCCGAAACCCATATATGCCTGATTTCCAGCATCATGACCCATCTGAACCTGGTTTCCAGGATTGGTATAGGGAGGGGCATATGCGTAAGTCATGTCCGCACAGTGGTTCGGGTTGTAATGTTCGACCTTAGAAGTCACCTCCTGGGGCTGGTGCATAGAATGCTGATGAACTTGGCGGATAGGCTGCTGAACAGTTGTGTGCTGAGCACCTGCGAACATGTCTGAGGGAAGCTTGATCTCTGGCTGTTTGGCAGTCTCAAGACTCATACCATCGATGCCGCGACGCGCGATCTTAAGCTTCACAATAAGAGAGTCGGCGCGCTTGCGTGGACGGGCCTTAACCGGGGGCTGAACCTGTGTAGACTGCGTATTAGCAATGGGCAATGGAGAGCTTCCACTTCTGTTCTTGCGTGTCCAGGCCATCTTCAGTGTGGGGATGCGATTGCCGTCAGCAACCTGCTTGCCACGCAACTTCAACACAGCCTGTTGAAGCGCGCTGGCGGTGCAGTTTTTGCCAACAACTTGGGCGGCTTGCTCGAATGGGATCTGAATACCCTTCTCGCCACATGCCCAGACAATGCCGAGAACAGCATTCTTCCAGTCGTTATCGGTCCACTTGAGAAGCTTGGGACGAGGCTGGCGAGGTTTGCGAGGTGCACCGTCCTTGTTGATCTTTGTGGACTTGGATGGCAGGCGGTCCTCGCAAGCACTCTCGTAATCCTCGCTGTCTTGCCCAGGGGTGTAACTCACTTGGGAAACGCGATCCTCGCTCTCTGCCTGAGCACCATCAGCTTGCTTCTGGTACTGGCTACCGGCAGGGTCAGCAACGAAGTGGTCTGGCTGAAACGAACGGCTCGCGAAGTCGTGTTTGACTCGCGGCGCAGACTCATAGTTGTAGAGGTACCCAATGTCAGCGCCATCGAAATGGCTAGAGTTGCTCTGGGAGGGCCACGGGACCAGAGGCGCCTGGCCTGGGGAATCGTATGTCTCATCAGAATCGAACAAGCCGACCATCTTCAGCTGGTTGTTGTGGTAGGAGCTCATGGTGCTTAAAGGTCTGATGAATCAAAGGCGTGACTGTAAAAGAATTAGTGTTTGCGGGACACGCTGCTCGTTCAAGGGACTAACTTACCCGAAGCGCAGCGTGAGACTAGCTCCAAAACAATGCACAAGCTCACGAAAGGGATATGAAAGGTAGGGAAACCTGTATCTTCCTGTCAGTGAAGTCCACAGAAACAAAGGAGGGGTCACCGTGATACGTACCCTTCACAGCTGTTCAATGGAGGGGCGAGAATAGGCTGTTTCGGAAAGGAAGGTCCTCGGTGCAGACAGGGTGTAAGCGTTTGCAGGCTTGAGAGTAGCCTAACCACGCAGGCAGCGAGCTCGCCAAGATAGCGATGTACCTCGTGAGCACTCAGAGAGTGCCACAGCAATGCAACTCCGCGTGCTGATGGAGAATATAACTCAATGAAGGCACCGTGGGAGACGCCAGAGGAAAGCTCAATGCCAAAGCGCTTCTGTTGCAGTCTTTGTAGCTTTTGCTATGACTTGCCTCCGTGGGCCTGGGGAGCTCACAGCTACAGTGAATGCCAAGAAGAGGTCAGTATTAGATAGCAACCAGAGTTGCAGGCAGACAATAAATGTGCGTCGCCAATGTGTTGCCGTTCGCACGTATTGTCTGGAGTTGAGTCGATGATAGATGCACTTGGGGATTTGGTAACGTAGAAGCTATCTGACCCTATGTGCCAATATCTGAGGATCAATTGAGGAGTGGATATTCAAGTGAGAGAGTCGTAAATTTGATAGTCTCGGAGTTGAAAAAATCAAGCCCAGGTAAGTCTTTTATGCCCGCATATCCTCAGTCACAGTCGAAATAAGCGGTGTCGAAGCGGCACTAGAACGGCTGGCAGAAGGTTCCATGACGTAGATTTCCTTCACTAGAGTAATATCCCCGCAACCCTAGGCGGCGGTACCGGAGATTGGAATAGGTGATATCGTTTTTCCGTGAGGAGAGGGGGCGGGGAGGGTTACAAAGGCGGCGAAGGTCGATACCAACAGGGCGATATCGGTGTATATTGCGCGCCCGGAGTAAGAGATCTTGTGGTGAAGGTAGGTAGGAAGTTATTGTCAAGATTATGGCATGCCCCTTGTCCATGAATAGCATACATGCCTATGATGTAGATGTAGAAGTGTTCTGTGAAGGCTTCGACGATGATGCCCTAGCTATACGTCAGAAGGAAGAGTGTTGCTGAAGGCTATCTCGACACACTATGCCCCCTATATCTGTGTCAATTCGTCCACGCCTAGTTGCTTGTATGTGGTCGGACATATAGTTGATTGAATGTGCTGAGGTTTTAACGAAAGGCAGGATAATGGAACAAAAATATGGAAAGAAAGAAGGCAAGAAGACAGAGAAAAGAGACATACATGTAAGAAGCAAAGACGAAAAGTGAAGATAGAGGCATTGGTGAGAAGAAGAGATGTACAAAAAGATAAAATGCAGATGTAGGTGATATAGTGAAATATCGGTTGAGTCGAAGGATTCATCGAATCACCACATGGCTTACCATTTTATGAGACCGTATAATTAGCCTTACATTGTTTCCGTAATTTGGTCAAATGATCGAATGTGATATGATATAAATATACACATGAGGCGTACTAGTATTTGAAATTTCTGGTTCAGGGCGTCGATAATATTCAAGTATTCTGGAGTGGCGATGGATGTAGAGGTACATTGACGTGTACTTAAGTATGGCAGGCAACTCAGAGCCGCGATAGCTGTGTATATATATCGACGAGGATCCAAGTATTGCTCGATTCGCGAAGGTGGAACAGCTGGCGTACGCAGGGATCAGAGTAATGACTGATGACTTATCCAGGTAGCTGGCGAATTTCGAGCAAAAAGAAATTGTTAAGTGATAGTATTGAAATGTTGGTGTAGAGTTGCTTGTTATCGTGACAGCGTATGTGCAAAATGTGATCGTTCATCAACGAGGTTCGGGGTTGTCGACGCTCAAGTGTCTTAACACAAAACCAATTGAAGCAGCAATATGGCCGGATTCCGGGTTGCATTGGTGCCTGTGGTGAGGAGCGATCTGGATAGTGGGCGTATGGTCTCTGGGATCCTTGTAGCTACAAGGAGAGATGTTACCCCACAAACATGCATACGGTATCCGAAGGAACATTGTGACGATCGTGATCGGTCTTGTGTATTCATGTTGCGAGAGAGTAACTCCAGTGCTTTTGTTCATACCTATTTCAAAACGATATGTTTGTTAGCCCTTGCAATAGTCACTCTACAATGTTTGTCTTCGAGCCCGAAGTCACGCAGTCGTCAAAGCTTGGCAGGTCATCGAGTCGACGCTGCTTCTGGCAAAGGGGAGTAGAATAGAGGCTTGAGATGTAGTATGACGGAAGATTATCTTTTCTTGGTTAGTTCTCAAGGATGGATCCATGTTGATGGAGATACAAGAGGTGACTCCGGATGATGTCCTTTTGCCCTGGCGGGGTCAGGCCATCTTGCTGCTAGTAGACAAAGGGAAACGAATGATCAGGAGCCATGAGCTATATAAAGAAGCATGTCAACGCTGTGCTGTTGTCCATGGCTATGCGAAGCGACTCATGCAAAGGATGGGGTTTTGGAGAAGGGTCAAGCAGCTGTGGTTAGTGGGTGAAGGAAGCGAGTAGAAGTGTAAATAAGGTTTCTGACGCTAAAAGTGCGGTGGGTAAGGGCGTTGTCCGTTTAGTTTGCAGCCTTGGCACAATTCAGTTACACAAGGCAATGGATTAGATAACACTGAGAAGGAAAATAAGAGAATGCATTCAAGTCTTCTATAGTATAGTCATTGGAAAGTATCTGTAGATTGTCAGCTACTACTCAGATTCGTGAAGAGCTGTATCGGGTAAACATACTACTAGAGCATGTATAACATAAGACTCCTTTTCACAAGCAGATCTCTATGAGAATTCTGGCGAAGAGATGTTGCGGGTCTCTTAGAGGATGCAGCCAAAGAGCTCCTGGATCTTTGAATGGTGATGCGTTGCTCGTGATGGCGTTTCTTGTGGCCCCAGGCCAAGCTCCACAATGGTTCGCTTGGACGTGCGCGAAGGATTCGGTCCGACTCGAGTGACGTCGGGCCCTGAAGCTACGAAGCTGTATCTCTTTTGCTCCTATACTGCCTCCCAAGATACTGAAGTCTCTCCTCCTTCTCCTCGTGCACCTGTCACACTCTTGGTGGGTGGTTATTCTCTTTGAAGCCCGCATTGACCTTCAACACCAATGTGGTTTCCCCCTCCTGAATTTTGCTCCTCACTACACCCACCCCGCCACGACCAGCCATCAAACTCGACAAAACCATCCACACACACTTCCGTATCTCTTCTCTCATACTTGTTTGAGATGAAGAACCGGAGCGGTAAGATGCATGCGGTCTTGGAGTCGCTTCTGCATCTCTTGCCGTCACGCCAACCCCTCAGGCCGCAAAGCTTCGTCGTACCAATCCAACGCCGATGACAACGCTGATCTACCGATCCATCGCGGCTTATACATACTGACGATACATGGCAGCTTCCTCAAGAGGCTTGCCTTCTTTTGACAATGAGGTCTTGTGGGGCCTGTTGGCCCTAATGCATCCTCTCAGCGCGTTCGGGTGTCTGCATCGCTGGTCCTCGCTACCAGCATTGCGAGAGAGAGCGACACCCCCAAGAAACTCAATAGAGGTAAGCAGAAGCACTCTGGAGCTTGTGTCGTACTCTCGTGTCACCTCCCGCATGCAGACGTTGCGCGGAGTTTGCACGACCTCGAGACGCCCAAAGAGCTACCATGACCTCAGGCAATGTCACACCCTCGACTCCTCAGTCCAGGCGGCCGCGATAATCTCTGTAATACGCGGAAGTCTCCATCGGTTCCGTCAACCTCCCCATCGGGGACCGAGGCCATACAGGCCCTGGCAAAGAGAAGATTCATGGGCCTGGAATACAGGCTTCTTACCCAGCCGCTGAGGAGGCGCGAACGCCTCTCAATGACAGATGACAGATTGAGCGGTCGACATCCACCGCTTCCTTCATGACTGGATCCATTTGTGGCTATATTCTTCACACCATGTGGCGCTTCTGAGCTTGAATGGCTACTGCCAGCATCCGACGGGCATCGCTGGTAGCACACGACAGCTGAATACTGTCCGCGGACAAATCCCGGTTTCGAATCGCTGATGTCAACACCAGAGCGACTCTTGTCAATGACGGTATGGCCACTCGGGTCATGTGATACATACCTCTACTAACACAATGGTTATCCTAAGGCTGTCTGCACACAGATAGGAGATGGTCACCGATGCCCGAATCGATCGCACCACAACATGTTGGCCCGTGTTGGAGTCGGCTTACTCGAGTTTCGCATACCCACCAGCTCCTCGGTACGGCTTCTGCATTACCAGAGCTCATCTTGAGCCAATACCAACATGGATATTGCCCCTTGGCATTGGCAGAAAGAGGCATGGATGAACACAACGGCCTCAACACTATGCCACATGTGGTTTGTGTGCCAACAAAAGGTGGCGTCATATCTCACCCGGAATTATCCATATACCAAAGGAACAAAGACTGCGTTGCGCTCGGATGGAATTCGTGTCCTTGAGATCCGTCGGTGTCGTATCATTACGAGTTTTCCATTTCGAATTATTCCCTTCGGGTCAGGGTCCTTGAGGCATCTACCATTTGGAAGGAGACCGGATTCGAGCTGTAAAGATCTTTCTTAATTTAACGTTAGCGAAAGAGACGGATTGCAATAAAGCCATTCTGAACACCGACGAGGCCAGGAATCTTAAAGGTGGATGCCAAATTACTCTCATTCCTGGCCGAGATAGGAGGTTTCCGGTTTGATATTTCCTTGAAGCTGGCATGGAACTTGCACCAACATGGTCCGAATACAAGGTTTGGCTGTAAGGGGAATCTTTGCAGATACCAATGTCTTTCCGGATAATATCCACTCGCCTAGTACACAGCCTGTCCCTGGTATTCCAAAGTCTTCACAAGAGGTATCCTGATAGACTCCTGGGATGATCCTGCTCTTTCTTTGCTTCCATGACAACAACAACACGAGCCGCCCTGAGACGCTACCAAAGTTGTTTCTCACCTTACCAGTGCAGGTTCAATCGGACCAGGATTCTGTTTCTTATGAGACAAGTCCAAGTTATACTTCAGCTCATTGGATGACGCTGTGTACCTCACCGGTGGCCTGGATGGTTGGAAAGAGCAAAAGATGTTTTGAAATCGAAAGCTGAGTTGCAGATCGAATGTCTGCATCCGAGACTACAAGCGAACGCTATCACATTAAGCTGTTCTAAATATCCTGTAGAGGCCGTTTGACTTGTCAACGCATGGATTCAGAAACCCTAAGTATTGCCTTTGCCGACCGACTGTAAAATTTTCGCAACAGCCAATTGGTCATTTTCCTTGGAGGCCAGGTGTTGCTCGCTATTCCCACTGGTTTTCTGCGTCTTGTCAAAATGACAAAGGCTGGAAATGCGAAATGAGACAATGCATCGATTGCTCGGGTGCAATGCAGCAGTTTGCTCTTCGGCTGGGTGCATCTCAGGCCATTTCCTATCCCAGGCCATGTTGTGTTTGACCTTCGCCTGACGACCAGTATCTGCGGAGGTGTCCCAACATGCTGGGCTTAGCCATATGGTGCTGCTTCGCAGCCGTATGATGGTGTTGGCTGACAACCAGCTCTCGACAATGAGTCGATGGCCATAGAAGGCGCTCTGCACGGACGGCCCAACATTTGTAGTTTCTGGATACTCCTATGTGTTACAACATTGTGGCTAGCTGCGGTGTATCCGTGGAGATCTGGCTTTGGTATGCTCAGTTGCTCTGTAGCTCAGCGATAAGCCAGTTCGGTGTTTCAGGCGGAATGGTGTCTGATCGAGGAATGTGCGATAACGGCCTGTCGTCAACGTCAGTCAGGACAAAGAAAACTCATGGGAAGGCACTCTCCGGCAGCACACCTATTTTCCAGCTAGCAATTTCGGCACGACTCTAGCATCTGTTATTTGGGCGTCAAGAGAGTCTGCTATTCTTTGAAGAGCATATGCCCACCTCTTCGCCAAGTGGTCACTCGAAGTCAGCATTCAGCTTCATCGCAAGCTCGCAACCTTGGCTCTAAGACCGTTGAGTATCTCGCAGATGTGGCCTGCGATAGCGATCAAGGTTCACCGTTCTGTAGCGCCTGCTGCCTTCAATGTCGTAGGCGCTCCCGTGCTCGTAGATGCGCGCTCGCGGACCTCCGTGAGCAGAGTCTTAAGCCAGGGGATGCCAGCTGAACCTGCTGTTGCTGCGACCTATCCGGCAACTGTATGGGTGAATTTTCCTGCAGTTCAAATCTGTGAATAGTGGGATGTCCTTCCCCCCGATTCATGTGCGGTTGCATGGCAAGTCTATCGGTCTCCTGCTTCTTGTTTGAGATGGCGCTGCGATGGACTTGTCTTGACCTTGCAAGCCACGGCGCAGCTTGGATTATCCATCGATGTACATCTGTACGGTTGGAGGAGCTTGCAGTTGGTGTTGATGAGGAAGAGACGAGCCGATGAGGATAGAGTCTTGTTGAAAGCATCACGCGAAGCCGGCACGGCAACGCCGCTGGTTCTAGAGCCTCATCAGCTTTCTGTATCGAAACTGGGAACAAGCATCTCGCCATACGCCCATTATCCCCTAGCCGCCTTCGCAAATCTCTGCCGTCGCGATGTCGTTGCCGGTGGTGCTGAAGATGGTGGGGTGTTGGAGCGTGAGCACCGCGGGGATCAACGACGCTCGCGATGTGTGAACGCCAATCCTAGAGTGCATCCGCCAAACCTTACGCGTACAAGACACGCATGCGAAGCTACTTGAAGCAATGAACTGTGTGGTTAGGCTGTCTCTGTCGTAAGGAGGGATGTGTGGAAGGCACATCTGCTGTTTCCCCGCTTGTATGCCTGCTGCGCGCATGTGAGCGAGAAGTTTCTGATGCACCTGTTTCAATCAGAGCTCGGGGACAACAACCACGATGCAGACCCTTGTCTCCCTAGACAAGCATAAGTTGCTCTGTCATCCAAGTACCAGAGTCAAGACCAGGCTTGCTAGTGGTGGAGGATGCTTGCAAGATGCGGAGTGGGCGAAGACTGCACCGCTGCAATCCAGAGGCATAGTACGCTGCGGATCAGATTGTAAATCATGGGTGCCGACGCCCATCAGCAAAACCAAGGCGAGGGGCCCCAGTATTCGAAAAAAAAGACTGGAAGACGAAGAAATGGTAGCCATGAGGTATTGGTGTTGTTGGTGGTCATCGGCCAAAGGGGCCCAGACCTTGTTGTCGCCTTGTTTGCCCCTCACTCTAAGGAACCCTTCCAAACTCACTGGATATTACCAATTTCGGACTCTAAGGCTATATATACCGTTCCATTCTGGATCCCTCCATCAACAACAGTGCTGACGGGGGGTACCTAGGAGGGTTGCGGCCCTACGACCCCTTCGGGGATGCCCTACATCGCCGGATGCCTTGTAGGAAGCCCTTTTCAGGATGTCTTTTTTTGCTGGTTCGAGCCTTGCTGTGTCCATTCAGTCTTCTTTTTTTGCTCGTTGTTTTTTGCTGATAGCACCTCTCACTGTGCCTAGAAGCAGCACAGTTACTCGGAGCCTAAGGAACAACCCCTGGCACGAGCGCTTTTGGTCATCCCAGGACTTCCAGCTTTTTGAAAAAACTGCTGCTTTTCTCAGCGTGATCTCCAGCAAGATAGGGGTGGTGCAGCGATTATCCATGACTTCTGGATTTTGACGCTGGTACTGCCACAGGATTCCGCCGACAAGAAAATGCATATGCACGAACTACAGTGCAATGTATCCAGCAGCCATCACTGTACCTGCAATTGCCCCTTTTATATCTACTTGCTGGTGCCACGCATTATGTTGTGCAGCTGCAGCATATTGAATCGGGATTGTGTGGTGACAACCTCATGCGATTCGGAACCCCAAGAGTTTTTGAACGACTCTTCGTTGAAGTTTCAAGTCAAACAGATCATCAGAATGTGTTCTCTCTTCTAAGGGGTCATAATATTCTTCACGGCACGCTCAGCATTGCCGTTGAACGCGGCTCAAGCTGCCGGTTGAGATCAACATATGCCGCCTGGTGTGAATAGAGCACAAGGCTGCACCAGCAGCAGGACATCAAACCCCCGATGCAGATTGTGCCAACGCAATCCTTTGTAGATCAAATGGTATGGGTCATCTGAATCAGGAGGCATAGGCTGTGCGGCTAGTCGTGAAGATGTCAAGAGTCTTCATGTTCACTTTGTTGCCTACGCGTCCCGCCATGCTCACGCACACACAACGCTTACAACTCTCTGGATTTCTACCAACCAGGCACCTACCTATATCAAAAGACTTGGGCTATATAATGGCTCTAATTATTCAGTCTTTCGCCCTCTTAAAGGGTGTGGGAATAGCCCACTCGGAAAGAACACAGGCTGACTTCCTACCACAGGCCGAACGTTCGAACTACCGCCCAGTCGAAACCTCAATCTGGACGGACCACCATCAGGACTACTAACATTGTGACACAGGGAACTATCAAACACAACAGCCTGCAAGGCAGAAACCCATTACCAGAGAATCATCTCCCAAGTTTGGCTTGGAAGGGTCCTTTTTTTGCTCTTTTTCAGGACCTTTTTACCTCATGCATAGAGTGTGATGGATCTGCAGTGCTGATATGGACTTCCTACAAGCCTGGTTGCTTGTGTATGATCTTTCTTTTTTGCACCCGAGGGCAATGGCTTGGCTGCAATGCGCCTTTTGCCTCCTCACATCACTGGCGCGCCTGCATGGTCTGAGACCAAGTTTGAAATCGAAATCATATCGAGCAACGTCTTGTTTGGACGGTGTACAATGCGTCAATTCAGCCGCTGCGATATAAGCCCTCAACAATGGATACGGAACTTTGGCCGCAACAAAGATCACATTTGCATACGCCAAAGTCTGAATACGACTCAGTACGCCCCAACAGCTAGACCGTGGCAGCCACGTAGACGTCAAAAGTGCAAGTTGAAAATAGTCACATTCATATCTGTAAGTCCATTTGGCAGGCGCATATGCCTTCGGAGTTGTTTACCGCTTTCTCGCCAACGGTATCCTGAACAACCATGTTCCCATGGTTGGCAGCCAGCACCTATATTTCTAGTATACAAGAAGGCTCCGGTCAAGGAATCATGTCTCATCCTCAGTACACGTGCAAAGTCTCCCACCTCTTCGACAGGGCAAGTCGAACCACGCCTCGAGGACCTCCAACGGTTCCCTAGGTATCATGTGCCATTATAGCCATTATTGGCGGCTCGTACGCAAACAGCGACGACCCCGCCATGTGCTCATTCATGTAGCGGAAAATGCGCACGGTTGAGTCTATCTTGTGGTCAAGTAGAACAAGGTGTTTGCCGGGTTTCGAGTGTTTGTCGGGATGAAAGTATTCATTCGTGGCAGGGGCCAAGCGAAGCAGGATGTGGAGCGCCTTCCGAACGATGGTCATACGCTTGAGCTCGTCGATTTCGATGTCGAGATTGAACCGGAGTCGCTGAGTTGCCGTGCCCCTCACGATCTGGATTACCATTGTCAGCATATGCTTCTTGAGAAAGAGGCCCTCGTGGCGGAATACAAAATTCTCTTCAGCGCGTGCTCACCTGAAAACTTTTAGCCTCTTGTGTCCGTTCTCAGTTTTCCCTCTCAGCTCCCCATTCTTTCCAGTAACCAATTTGATCGATGCAGTATTGGCCTAGGTTGCCGAAGATGATTACCTCGCACTGCCTGGTGTCGCAGCGTTGGATCTGCTCCAACTCTTTGATCCGGATTTGCTCAAGAAGCTTCTCCATTCTGGCTCTCTAATTCTCGTCCATCATTGTATTTGGCTATTCGGCCTTCGGTTGGTGTGGAATGACGGTCGGCTTCGTGTGCGAGGTGAGGAAAACATGCGGGATCGATGTCTGTGCCGGCGCTGCCACGAAATCAACTGCTCCTCTGCATGCAAGTGTACGCCTAAATCCATCTTGCGCATAGGTACATGATCTCGTTATGAGCAACTGAACAGAAATTAGGTCAAATTCAGGGATGACGCTGCTGTTGTGTCGTGAGGCTCAGTGGTGGACACAAGTCTGAGCAAGTTGTCAGTCGCTTTTAGTCGCAGGTCTGTGTCACGCACATTCACGAAGGTCAGTGGCTGAACTGCCGGTAGAGATCCAATGTCATCATGCACATCAGGAGCATTGTTGGGCCAAAGGAAGAAATCTGTAGAGTCCCTAGGCAGTTCGGCAACAGTAGCCCGTTTGTCTTATATTGCAAGAGCACAAAAGATATGTTCCATTCCGAAGTAGACAGAGGGCCAAAGCCATCTTCTCGACTGCTCGGACTCTGCATACAATACTGGGAACCGTTTCTTCTCGGAAACCTCTCTCCACACTTCAAGTTGGTTTCTCGTCAGATTTCACTCGACCAGCGCTTTGTGTAAGTTTTGCATTGACCTCTGCCGCTACGCAAACGCTTCTTCTACAAGCTCCTTAGTTTCCTTGCCTGGTGTCAAACACAAACTCAGACAGCAAAATCATTCTCCTACCTCTACACGACGTCCATTCCTCCAGCTGTTTGCCAATATCACAAAAAATTGCCTTCGCTCACCTCACTACTTTCAACAACCATAAGCATATTCTTCCGGTCACCATCGCCGTCCACTACAACGACTCGACCTCCTGCCGCTCCAATGTTCAGCCCGGATTCAGATTATGAGGTGGAGGAGGAAACTATCCAAGCGCGGCTCCTTCCTTCCGCCGAACAAACTCTCGACCAACTGGAGGCAACGCGCGAGCTGGCAGATCACCAGGGAGCAAACCGGGGCGTCTTCAAGTGGCTGGACGGTGTGGAAACCCAGCCAGTAGGTTATGGCTCTCATCAGCTGCTTCTGGTCAGTTCCTATAGGCAGTTGTATCAAGAAGACGTTTATTAACCGGTATCGTAGTGGGACGGTCATCTTCCTCACTCCTGGGTTGCCCTGGCGCTCTTCAGTCTCCTCGTGTTTACGCTGGGCTTCGCTGCTGGCTGCTTCCTTTAGATCCGGACAAAGACCTTACGAACTCGCCCGCTCAAAAGCGAATGGGATACCGACGCATTGGCTCTGGAGACCTCCCTCAGGGAAACAGGCGGTGGATGGATGAGCTAGAGCGAGTAGGTGGGAAGCACACGATACTGGGTCATATAGATGAATAATACGCACAAGATATATTTGTCTATTCTTTGCTGCAAACCTAACCATGGGTACGTTGCACCTGTGAAGACGTACTTGGGCCAGATGGGTAACGATCGAGAAAGGTATGGCAAGACCGCATCGCGAGACGCTGGTCGCTTACAAACGCGAAAATAACGATCCGGTCACATTTTGACAAAAGCATTGACTACTGCCTTGGTTTTGAGATAAGACAGCTAAACATTGACTTATCTTCCTATGCGAAAGACGACAAACCAAGATATGGCTGCAGCGCAAACATGGGCAAAGGACCGATTGGCAGCTGTCATGCGTGCCTATTCGGCTGGTCGGGGAAAGTTGCGGGCGATACTAACCCGCTTTGATACCTAGCATACCTCCCATTGGGCCCCCTTGCACACATGCTACCCTTGACCCTCTTTAACCCTCGCAACCTTAAACCAACTACAATGCGATCGGCCGAAAGCTCTTATTATTGACTTCTCGCAGTTGTGTCATTTGTTCCTCCTCCACCTAACAGCATCCGCACTCGCGCTCTCATTACCGCCTCAAATTGCTAGCCCGGCTAGTTCTCATCATCTTGAACAAAGCTCACTACTACATCAAATTGATTCATGGATGCGCGCGCCATGAACTGCATCACGACCCCGCATGTCTTCACGACTTTCCCGTTGTACCCTCAATGTTGGGTTTTTGTTTCAACGGGCGTATGAATTGAGTTTTGTTCCCGGCGCCCCACGAACACACGGAACTCGTCGTACGTGCCATCGTGCGAAACGACCAAACTGCGAGAAGCTAGGTTTCTCGTTGTGAGTCACACCAAGGCTAGATCCCAGATGATTCCCAGAAGAAACCATGTCTCTATTCCGACACTCGGTGCTGGTTCAAAGTCCCCGCCCCTGGTAGCACGCAAGGATTCGTGCTGACAAAAAACCCTTCTCGAATACGAGATCTTCAATGGGCTCTTCATGTACGACCCAGCTTTCAAGAATCTATGAGCCCTTGACTTGAAGGTACGAGTTCCAAACTTTCTCAACGCCTTTATTGGGAATGGAGCCTCAGAAGATGTCCTCTGAGGAGATGCAAGAGTCGTATTCTGGTTATGGAACATCAATGGGTGCTGAAAATCAGCACGCTTGGTACCCCGAAAGCAACCGATTGGCTTGAGGCAGTTCTACTGGTGAAGGCGGGATCAAACCTCGACTTCCTGTCATCTGAAGCTACAAGAATAGCTCAGTGCGAGAACGTATTCAGTGAGATTGTCGATATGAGGGTGAGTCGATTTACAGGAACAAGCAACTACATTTACTGATGACGATACAGAGAGGACCAGAGGAACCCTGTTTCCATAGTACCCGCGTCGTTATATGATATACGGCCTATCCTATGCGGGTACGGCTCACGTGAGATACTTTTATGGGCCCTCAGACAAGATCACCTCCCGTATCCTACACTTCTTTTGCTCATAGAAACCTTTCAGCTTAAAGTCCCGTTCGACTAGATTACCTTCAAACGATCGCTGTATTTCCTCCTGGCCACTTCCATCGACCGCGACAATTCCAAAGCGAAGATCCCCTCCCTCATCCTTTGGCAGTAGCAGTAATATCCCTTTTGAATCCCTTGGCGAGAAACATCGGAAGGGACTCATTCTGAATCTCTGCAGTGTTTTTGTTACAAAGCTCAACCGTTTTCTGATATACAATTGTTGCCTCTCTACGCAGGAATTGAGGCAGTTCCTTCAATGTTCCTGCTCCGTACGGCCGTTCCTCTCCAGAAGTCCAGGTTATCACCCCTTTCGGCTTGCATTCTGGCTTCCCGCAGCCCTCGCCTGATCCTGAGTTCGAGTAATGTACGATTCATGTCGCATAGAAGCTGGGCCCGTTTCCAGACATACAGTCTTTCTAAATCATCATGTTCCTGAGCTCGCTCTACATCCTGGATGGTTGCCAAGATTTGACCTCTCATCATACCGAACGCATGGTGGATCTCTCTCTGAAAACGGCGACAAGTTCCATTCGTTACAGATCGGGCAGCTCAGTCTTGATCCGAGCATGGTTCATCCCGGCCAAACGCTTTATATGCTACATGCGCTACTTCGAAACGTACATTCGGTGCGAATCTTAAGGCGTGCAGTGCATGCGACTCAAAGTGCTAAGTCTTGCTAGACAGTAGTATTACGATAAGAAAAAGCCTTATTGCAGCACAGGCACATCAGGAGGAACGACACCTATTCGATCTTGCGAACGGACGGGAACCAACTTACTGCAAGTTCGTTCTGCTCTAGTCTTGTCGTCGTTCGAGGCGAAAACCAGAGCAATTCGATACGTTCCACAGCGCAACCTCGATCAAGCAACAACAAAATACATTTCCCCGCACTGCCATGCGATGACGGCATGAGCCGTGATGGAGTTGCAGGGAAATCCGGATAGCGACTCTGCGCCAGTGCCGGTAATGGGCGATGGGTAGCCCCGCCCCCACGAGGTCCAGACGTGACGAACCCATGCATCCTAGCAGGGAACAAGGCCATTGTGCAGCCCGCGTTTGGAGGTATTCCATTGCACCTACGCATCGTGCAGAAGCGTGGGGGCTGCGACGGTCGTATGAGAGATATGGCGCAATTCAACACAATCCTGGATTTGGCTCACTCAGAGAAAGGACTTGTGGCAGTGGGGGCAGGCAGCCCACCTAGGCGGGTAACTGGTTGGCATTTGTGTCGTTCTTATAGGGCAGCGCATCAGCGCCCATGCAGGGACGAACGTCAGTCTTTGAACCCCCAAAAAGGCCTCGGGTGCGAAGCTCTACCACGAACACACAACAAAGCCCTCCGAGCCGCTGATCCAACACTAACCATCCCAAGAGAAAAGGAAGCGACTGCGCAGAAGTTCATGCGGCCCATGGAGAGTAATGTCCGATCCCTACAGTCAGCAAGCTTTTGGGCAGCCGACCTTCACCGACGCGCATGCGAATGGGAGTTCCTCTGGACCTGATATGTTCGATGTCATCGACGCATCTAATCTGTACCACGACCACGACCACGCCTATCGACCTGGCAATCAACATCTGCAGCAACTGCACATCCAAACTCATGACGAGTTTGCGCAAAGCCAGCATCTTGCGTATGCCCTGCAAGAGAGCAGTCCATCGGTTGCAGGTGAGCTTACCCCTCATCTCTCTTCAATCATTATTTTCTTCGTCACCTCTCCTACACACGCTTTTTTTGGTGGTCCAAGCATCGTCTCTCCCAGGGTTCTGGATTCTTGTCCGAATTCCCTGGATTGTCGGTCTTGGATGACGTTTGGCCGGGAGAGGATGGCGTGCTCCCGCTAGCTGCACGTGATCAAGCGATGCAACGATACATGCAACAACGGCCTGCCTGCTTTGGGAGGCATTTATGCACGCTGAGCAAAGATGCATTTTGTTGATCCGGATCACTTGTCAATCAAATACGCAGCAGTCACCGCATTTTCACACCATCTTTCTTTCGACTTTACCACGCTCGCTAATGTCCTCAAAAGGCCTCCAGTACACCTCACCAACGGTGCCAAACATGAGAAGCCACTTATCGCACCATTACGAGCCCGATAGCGCAATAAATCTCGGATTGGATGATCTTCAAAGGTTATCCACAGCCGCGCACGGTTACAATATTAACACCTATCGCACGCCATACCCTGCCAGCAATGCGACATCCACCTCATCAGCCACGTCTCCTGACCCCACAAATGCCACTCTGCTCACTGATCCAGTGGTTGTAGAAGCAGAAGAAGACAAAAGAAAGCGCAATCAAGCTGCTTCCGCTCGTTTCCGTCAGAAGAAGAAACAGCGTGAGCAACACCTCATGGAGAAAACCCACGAGATGCAGGAGCGGACGAAGCAGCTGGAGGCGGAAAACGAAGGGCTCAAGAAGGAAAATTCATTTTTGAAGAAGCTGTTAGTGGAAAAGGTTGATCATATGAGTGACGAGGATCGGGAGCTGTTGAGGAAAGCCGCTGGAGAAGTGTTGGACAAGGTGGCTGGGAAGGCGGGTTGAGCCGTCAGTTCTCTTGCGCACTCGTTAAATTTTGGTTTCTCATTTCTAGCTGAGAGGCAGGACTGAGATTTATGGCGGAGATGAATGGGCAAGGCTGATGTCTCGCAGGGGAAGGCGCACCGGAGTTTACGCAGTCTGGAGTTACTTTTTCATAATGTCTTGTCTCAGGGTGGTATTCATTTACATCCACGTAACAAAGGATGGCTTGTGGTTTAAGTCTGTCTCAGGGGTCGTAAAGACGGCTGTTGATTGTGTTTGCCTTGGCGCAACCGGAACTATGGGTAGCTTGGAGTTTTACGTATGCCCTTTGCGACAAACTTACCTACAGGGAAGCTGCATCCTGGACGATTTCGGGGGATACTCCCTAAAAGTACTCTCCATGGCAGCTAGTGTAGCAATGCCGCTTGCCATGGATCTGTCGATAGACATAGCCGCACTATCAGCCAGGATCGTGGTAAATAATCAGCCGGACCTGTCACTTTTTGAAGACATGTTATGGGGCGGCCATTGCTTTTACGTACAATATTTCGGACGCCACCGAGCCAAGTCTGCGGGCCGACGCGTCTGGAATGTCCCGAATTCATACTAGCGAAGAAGCAGCCTTGCAATTGAGTACGTACCGATGCTACAGAAGTACACAGAGATGGCATGTTTTTCATCTGTATATCTACGCTGATACTCTAAGTTGCATCCTTTTCTACGATGCTGGTATCATTTCCGATATTCTCATCGTCTCGTGGAAGAATACTCTTTGTCTCACTACGATCTTGCCATGACGAGAGCCGGAGTGCTACCGAGGGGGGTTTTGTTAAAGTCACAGCAGATATTTGCTTTATTGAACGTCGCAGAAGAACAGCAGCATCAGTCCGAATTGCTACATGACAGTGGAATGAGATGAGAAATCTCTTCTCCGATGCGCACAAGCCATCCAACTCCCAAAATAGGTGAGCATAGACGAAGATTTTTTCTTCATCAGGAAATACTTCCTTGGGTTACTGTCTCATTTCCCAACAGGGGGACCCTCCACATATTTTCTGACGCGAAGAATTGACCACCAGGCTCAACGAATGTTGAATTGTGGGGCATAGTGGAACACAATCAGTTCGCATCCGAAGATGTGAAAGATTCACATATGTAGGTGTATGTGTATGAGCGGTAAAGGTCCCTGAAGAAGTCCGCGGAGTTGATATCTTATCGACGCCTATTGGTGGGCTGAGAGATAATGCACTGTAATATGTTATTGGAATACGACATCTGTATACTTCTCGGCAGTTATGGGTTGAAGCAATGACAGTCTTTGGACTTTAACCGGAGCGACGTTATCGATCTGAGTTGGAGTAAACGGGTCACCAGTGCTCGTACAAAAATGTGAGTGATAACCACCGTAGGTAAAAGTAACAACTGGGAAGCGAGTTAGGTCAAGATTTATATTGTGTCATTGCACTCTTGTAAGACGGGAGCATCTAATCATGTATATACACTACGAGAGACTAGCCTCGATAGAGAGAAGCAGGGGACGTTAGGAAATATAACAAAAGATACTTTGCCACCAGCACCGGGCAGGTAACGGATACTAGTTACTTGAAGCTATTGCAAATACAAGAATGACATTCCAGTCAGACTAAAGGGTATAGTGTATTCAGTGTAGCCCCACTTGTCACGAGGCATGTTGGTGATACTCGACCCTCCATTAACCAAACGCCATGCTATCAGTTCACTATCAAATACGCCCGGACATTATTCAAGTTTTCAAGTGGGTCTGCCTAACAGCAGACCCAATATCCAACACTGCATGAAGACGACGCAGCAGAGTGTTAGGTGCAACATGAGTTCGGGTCAAGATACCTATGTGCTAACTCCGCATTCTGTCTCCCCGCACTAGTACGTTTTTGGTCTAGCGCCTCGCTGCACCGGTATTGGTCATCCTAAACTTACCCGCACTCGTCCTTTCGTCATATTTGTAAGCTTTGAACTCGCTCCTTCAAACGTGCGAACGGTGACATAACCAACGTCTTTTGTATAAGCGATGGTATAATGGTAGTTGTGATTCCTTGGCGTCGACCTACAGCTCTATGTTTTGCCGTAGGGCTGACCAAGCTCGCGCACTTCGCTGTTGGTTGTAATGTAAGAGCATCTTGAGTAGGACGCCTTAGAAGTCTTACATGTATATATTCGCGAGAATGGCTGCCTGGATGGGTATCATACAATCAGTTCACAATCATCATCACTACAGTATAATCCACTTGCGCAGATATCATAATAAGCTTCAACTTGAATAGATTAAAACAGCTTACTCCCTCAACACACATCAAAGTTACAACTTCTTCTACCCAACCCCCTAGTATCTCACATCATCTGTCCTCTTCCAGATGGCCACCACAATGCGCGCATGGCAATTCAAAGCCTCATCGGGACCCATGGAAAAGAACCTCTCCATCCCACCCTCAGGCCTCCCCATCCCATCCATCAAAGACGATGAAGTCCTCGTCGAAAGCCACGCAACAGGCCTCAACGCAATCGACTACAAGATCCTCGAGCTCGGCCTAATAACACGCCTAGTCTTCCCCTCCATGACCCCCGGATTAGAAATCTACGGCCGAGTCACCAAAACCGGCAGCAAAGTAACCAAGTTCCGTGAAGGAGACGTAGTATTCGGCTCGATTGGCCCAGGACCCAAACACGGCGCGCTCGCAGACTACGTCCCAGTATCTCAAGACCTACTCGCAAAAGCCCCAGAAGGGCTAAAGGGAGACGACCTCGTCGCCATCGCTCTCGTCGGCATGACAGTCCACACTGGTCTGGCTCCGTACGCGAAACCCGGCAGCAAAGTCTTCATCAACGGCGGTTCCGGAGGCACAGGTGTAGCGGCGGTTCAAATGGCGAAGATACTAGGCTACGAAGTCACGGCGTCGTGCTCGACGGCGAATATCGAGCTTGTCAAGAGTCTGGGCGCTGACAACGTGTTGGATTATACCACTGCGCCAATCATCGAGCAACTGAAAGACAGGGGCGAGGTGTTCGATCTCATACTCGATAATGTGGGTGCGCCCGCGAATCTGTATCGTGCTTCTACTCCGTTTCTCCGCGCAGAAGGCAAGTTTGTGCAGGTAGGGCTGGGCGTGAGCTTAAGCGGTGTGTTGCAGTTGCTTGGCAATAATATTGCGAGTTTGCTCAATTGGGGGAAGAGGGGGTATGTGTTTGTGGATGCAAAGCCGAGTACAGCCGTTTTTGAGCAGTTGGCCAGGTGGATGGTCGAGGGGAAGCTCCGCGCGGTTGTTGATTCGACGTGGGAATTTGGCGATGTGCCCAAGGCGTATGAGAAGTTGAAGACGGGGCGGGCGAGAGGAAAGGTTGTTGTGCATGTCAAGGAGGATTGAGATTTTGGGATTGGGGGAAAAATGATTTGTTTCTTTGAGCGAGATCATGTTTGCGATATCTATTAGTTTAATTCCGGGCATACATGCCTTTGATACCTTTAATAGACCTAATTGAGCATC